TGATACATTAGTCAAGGGCATGGAAGAACAGCTCTGGGAGAAAAGATTACCCTGTCTTATATAAGCTTTGATCTGCAGTCTCTCGGTCACCTCGTCCCCTTCCATTAGGACTTCTGGTCCCAGAAGGAATAAAATTTGCCATCCTCTGGCCCTGACAATTCCCTTACGGCGAAATCTGTCAAAAGGTGTGAGATGCCACAGATAAAGTTCTGAATAAAAGTACTTAAGGTTTCCCTTCTGTTGCACCATTCCCCCTTACCCTTGTTGTTCTAGCTAGGCACCCCTGTGTTGGGATGCATGTGATTTTTCATTCCACAATCCCCCTTGTGAGTCCATCTCCCGTTGCCTCGGACTTGCAACCCCCCATACTGTCCCTTCCCCTCTGCTGCAGCAGTAGGCTGACTTGGCCTGCAGTTCTGACTCGATCTTCTTCCCGATGGGTTGCACAACGGATGCGCAGTTGGAGCCCTGGGACTACAGAAAGAAAAGAAAGAATAGCCTTGTAGTCAAGGTACTAGCCTGAAACTTGGATTTTTATACACTTTGTCACACTAGTTTTGTTATAGCGCTCAGAAATCCCTTAAGAGATGGTTGACAAATGGTGATTTATCTCTTAATTACCTTTTGAAATCTGTGGGAGATTGTATGTCTAAATATCCACGAGTCTTACCCTGTATATGTTGGCTTACTGTCTACAAAGGACAGAACAAGACTTTCCTACCTCAGGACTGTGGAGGGAACAAAAGGTGGGATAGTTATTCTTCAGAAAGATCTCTATCCTGGATATGAGGCAGGTGCTCTGTATTTACCCTCACATCTCCTCTGAACCTTCATCTCCTTGAGTAGATAATCTCTTCTTCCTAGTATGCACACATATATTTATGTATGCAAACATTTTCTTAAATATATACACGTGCACATGCACATATATAGGAATGTATTTGTAATATATTTTAAACATTATTTTTATACTTCATGTAGTAGTTTTAATCTATAAAAATATTTTAATCTTAAGTGAAATACTTTCTGTAGTTTGTGTAACCCACTGCTTTTATAGTCAGTCAATTAATTTTTTGTTAGAGCTGGGCCATAAGCATATCTGCAGGCTGCAGAAAGATGTTGGTGTTTTGCCCAGAGTTGGTGGTTGCTGTGCTACAGTCTTTCCTCACCATCTATGCAGCTTATGTCCTGACTATGATTAATAAAATGCTGGTCCCTTGGCTGCTTCTCATCACATGTGTTAAATCTGGATGGATCTGAACTGAAACCATTACTATGTAGAAAACAGCTTGCTAACATACAATTTAAGGGGAGAACTAAACAGTTTCTGTGTGATTGAAAGGGCACAGATAATAGGGTAAATAATTTCTGAGTAAAATCCTCCCTAAGCATTCTTTTCCTGCCTCACAGGTGTTTGTAAAGTGCTTTGAGATCATTTATATAGAGATCACAACTCTTCTCAAATTTTCCTCCAAGCAGCGGATAAAGTTTAATATGACTTGTTACCGTGTAGAGGGTCATGTTTCTTAGGCTCACAGAATGCTTCACTCACTAGCAGTCACTCTGATTTGTCTTTAGGATTAGTGATTTTTTTTCAGTTAAAACAGAATGTAAAAATATTGCCCAATTAGAAAGCATTATTGTGTGTTTATAAGTACTTCTGAATGTATTAATCCACTGGTAGCATGCAGATGTCTGTTGGAATTTAATTTCTCTGCAGCATGTTGGGGGTGGGGACAGAAGAGAAGTAGCCAGAAAATTACAGTTGCTGCAGTAAATACTAGGCTTCTCCCAGTGACCTGCACTAACTGCAGAGCTTATTCCATCTAATGTGAGCATAAAACATCTGTTCAGCAGTGCTGTTCTCTGGCTGGTCTGTATTTGTACCCGCAAATTATGCGTTTTTGTCTGATTGTTGCCTGTTGTGGGGAGTCACGAAGAAAAAGGGTGTCGCATTTTAAAGCTTATTGTAAAAAAGATGTTATGAAATACCTGCAAGGCAGCACTGCTCATTAAGTAGTGTCAACTTTGCTTCACCTCTGTGGTGTGGTCCCTTCCGAGCTCCAGAGCCATAGGTGTGCAGGCCAGCAGGAATCCTGCGTGTGGATGGTGTAGCCTGTAGCAAACAGCATGGATGATAAGGCGGCTGTTTCAGAAAGCTCACTTTAGAGTCCTCTAAGGGCATGTTTTATTTGGGGGTTCCTACCAAGTCTGCCTGTGTTGTCAGGTGATGACACCCTGCAATAAGGCAGAGGTGGTGAACCTTGCACTCTCAATCTGGCGAATTGTTCCTCGGAGCACACTACTGCTGCCTGTCCTTGCTCTGGGCCATCAAAGGTGAAGCCAGGGCACCGCCTTCAGCAGCTTGCAACTTTGCTTGGTTTCAGTCATCGTTAGCAAAGCTGGCACTTCTACTGCAGCGGCTCTTACCCGAGTGAAAGGGCAGCAGCAGCACTGGTCACGTTTGCTTTGCAGGAGCTTTTACCCCATCGGGCTGCGGAGCTGCAGCGAGTGTGTCTGCACAAGGTGATGGCTGTCGCGGGGCAGCTCCCCACAGCTGCCCAGTCTGTGTGATGCAGCAATTCCTGGTCTGGCTGCACCCAGCGCCGTACTGGCCCCCTCACAACCCGATAAGCTGGCCAGCGGGCGGCTCTGAACGGTGGGCAGACTAACAGCTACATGAATAGAGTACAGAGCTGTTTGAGGTCACCAGCGTTCTTGTATCTGGTTTGCAGGCTCTGGAGGCTATCAGATATAGGATGAAAAGGTTTCTTGTCAGGGGATGTTTTACATTCTAAACAACACCTTGTTTGTCTGAGGTTGTTATTTTGGTTGGGGTTTTTTTTTGTTTGTTTGTTTATTTTTTATAGTTTATTTTTTTGATGTAGTGTTTCTGAAGGGGATCCTGGCAGTAAGTATGAGCCACCAGCCTGAGCAGTTCTTTTGTACCAATGCTTTTGAATCTGTGCCTGTGTTAGCATATTTCCTAGGGAAGTAGCCAAGATAGGATCATTCACACCTCAGATAAAATTTATTTATTTTATTAGCAGCAGCTTCAGTATCTCCAATTTTCAGCACTTGGTGAAGATGCAGAATTTGCTTTTTTGCTAGAATGCTTTCACGTGTGTTTCCATGTGTGGATCTTGTTTCCATGGCATCAGCCTTTAAGCTCGAGAAGCATTGGTGGGAGCATTAGCCAGTGAATAGGCAGTAGGAACCAGCCCTGCTCCCATGTAGGGCTCTGACTTGTGGTAGGATAATGATATGGGATATGGCGATGATTTATGCATTTTAACAGCCAGGGTTTAAAGCTTCACCTGTCTGTAATATTGTGGAAAAGAAGACCTGGTGCAGTCCTGCTAGTGCTCTTGCAAAGGCATTGCTTTTCCTGCTGCTTTGTCTTGATTTTTCTGAAGATGAGGCCATGATGGAGTGTGCTGTGACTTCAATTATTTTTCTTTCTTCATTTTCCCAAATGCTTTAATGTCTTAGCTAAATACATCTATCCTAAAGAGTCTGTTTTGTCTTCCTTGCCATTGTTGTGTTAGGATGGCATCAACTAAATGTTTTCATGTCACAGTTGTGGTGTGGGTACATTGTGAGCAGTGGTTTTTGCAGTGTTTATTTGTAACACAATTGCTCAAGCTAGTCTGTGTCCCAGTCTCAGGGATCTTTTCCAGTAAATGCTCAAGCACAGTGAGCTGAGTACAAGGACTGTTTTGTTAACTTCCATGGTTTTAGGGTATGCAGACATTGAAGTGATTGTAGCAGTTTCTCTGGCCATAAAAGCTATAAAGCTATGCACACAGAAAAGCATGTGAAATTTTGATGGTGTGTACTTCTATCTTTTTAATATAATTAAGCATATATTTCTGTTTTATATTATATCATAGCAAATGTACTTTTAAGATGTAGAAGAATGTGCTTATTAATTTTCCCCAGCTCAAGTAGTACATGTAATGTGCAAGTAGGTGCAAGACAGTGAACTGGATACAGGATTCTGAGGGGATTGCTTCTGTTTTAAATTAAAACTTGAGGGCACTCAGCAAAGTAACCTTGTGTAAGATGATGTCTGTATTACATCAGGCAATTGTGCCAGTAGTGACATTGCAAAAGAATTCCATGGGAGAGAGAAGCCCTTGCAGTAGGGCAGCAGGCTGCTCTCAGTGCTTGCGGTACCATCAGTTGTGAAGAATTTATGAAAGCTTAGTGAGTGATACTATGTGATATATGCTAAAGTGACTTAAACATCTGACATGTTCACAGCCGCTGCAAAGAAGAAAGAAAAATACACTGACTATGAGTTTGCTCAGAAAATAAATTCATAATTGATTTCCATCACTGATGAGCTTGGCAGAAGATGTTTGCATTGGTTTCTTTCTTCTTTTTTTTCTGCAGCTTTTAAAAATTAAACCAGCCTGCTGCTAATAGAACAGTTGAGTTCTATGGTATTTTTTCTTCATTCTAGACAAATGACCATAGGGATCACATCACTTCAGGTTTATCACACTGAGCCTGTATACTTTGTGCAGTTCTTCAGGAATCATCTGGAAAAAAAGTATAGATAAGAGAAATGGAGATCTTCATCTCCTTTTTGATTCCCAGCTGTCTCTGTATGGCTCTGATCTTGCAAAGACTTAATCTGCGTTTGCTCTATGCCCATGAATAGTCTTGTTGAATCCAGTGGATGATGTCAAGGGTGTGATGTTTTTGCAGAATTCTGGCCGATCTTGCTCCTAAGGATTGAAATGTCACTGGTGACTGCATTTTGAGAAGAAAATGCTTGTTTATCAATGAAACAAGCAAGCATACCCCTCTGCCACTAAACCCCTAAGTGAGATTACAAATAAAATTTTGTTTAAAAGCACTTCAACCTTGATTTTGCATCCTACAAACTGTTGTTGTTTGTTTCAGGTTAATTTTTAATTTCCTGTCATAATTGTGGTTGTCTTCCTAGTGTTAACTGGGCTCTCCTTTATTCATTTATACTTCTTTTTCAGATTGCATGTGGCTCAGAGCATAATCTGGCAGTAGTTGGTAAGTAGCTTAATTTTATATCAAATCCTCTCACCTTTTTTTCATTTTTAAGTAGCACAAGATGAAAGAAAAAAGTGCACATCAAACATACTGAGTGATTAAGGGCATTGTGTGCAGCCAAAAGGAGAAAAGTAACATATAGATGCAGAGGAAAGAAGAGAAACCAGTAGCATAAGTGGTGATGATGAAGAAGTGACCTTGTTGACCAGGCCCTGTAAGGAGAGAGGGGTTGGTGGATGTAACAGCAGAATACATTTGCAGGTGCTACAACCTGTTTTAGACTGGAGCCATTGCAACAATTCAAGCTGTAGATTCAGAGTAGCATCTAAGCTTGGAGCTGGTCAAAAGTATCTTTTTTTAACACGGAAATTTTCAAAGAAAAAAAAATCCTGGGTCTTTTGCTGTTCAGAGCTTGGAAAATCTTCAAAATGTCTGTCATAGGTACTTAGGGTCTTTAGTGCATCTCAATGTCATGCAGCTGTTGTAATAATGGTGGAAGTAGTAGGAAGCTAATGTTGGTGGGAAAACGTAATTTCGTGTACTGATTCCAGGAACAGTCAGATTCTTGCTTTCATGTGTTGATAACTGAAGTTTGATACGTGATTGCTCTTATTTATACTCACATGTTTAAGAACATTTTGAAATGTAGAGTTTCAGGTGCTTTATAAACGAGGTCAGCATAATTATCCTCATTAATAGACAGAGTGAGAGAGATGAAGACAGGAATTCTCTGCTAATCAGAGCTGGAAATGAAACAGTCTTTTGAGTCTGAGTCCAGCACTCCATCCACATAGACATTTTTGGTTGCCATGACTGATGCATTGGTATGTTAAGTGAAGAATTTTCTTGCCTTTTCTTAGGTGTGGTATGACAGGTGTGGAGAAAGCAGCTATTTGGTATCCAACCTGCATTCCATGTCCTAATTTTTAAGGTATTTACTTAAGCTTGGGGTCTTAGCAGTTTCATTAAGTGGCCACAGAGGTGATGTTCTGTCTGTGTAGTATATTTCCATATATTCTGTGGTATATTTTCTAATTATCCTTCTACAGTTAAACCTTATAGCAAACTTGTTAAGTTCTACTTAATTTATGGCCTGCTTTAAGAAAAGATGTTACCTTCCCCCTACTTGTTCAGTGTCACATGCCTGTATTAATTGTCAGGCTGGTGCTCCTGAATGTCAACTGAAGAGCAATCTGAAGAATCACATTTTGTTTCTTGCTGAATTGGTGAAGTAAAAGTGTACGGCTTGCAGATTCCTCCAGTGTCCATGAAAGCAAAGCATTGAGTTTGAACAACCTTCTGTCTCCTTATGTCCTTTTAAGCTTTCTGTGTTTTAGGCAGAAATCTCTGGGAAAAAGGGGTAGGGGAAACATTCTAGAAGAAAGTTATAATAGACTAAGAACTTTACATATGTAGAGAACATCATATGCTTGTCTCAGCTGTGTGCTACGCTCATTGAATTCAATGGGAAAATTATCGATGCTAGAAGCTAGTCGATTTTAAGGACAACAGAGATGTGAAGTTACTATATATTTTTTTTTTAAAACTAAAGAACTGTGATACATTTTATTCCTGAAATTAAATTTTATATGTGCTTTTAAAAGGTTGACTTTTTAGAACATTCTGTGGTAAGATTTCTGTGATCACTTGTCACTCTTAGTTCAAAGCTGTCAGCTGTTATATTCCTTAAAGATATCACACAGATTTCTGTAAATATGTCTTCTTGATTGTACAATTTTCAAATAACTTATCATTCAAGCAGAGTTTATTCAGGACAACTATATAATCAGTTTCTTAATTAGTAAATTCTGGAATGATTGGCTTTCAGACTGAAATAACTCAAGTTCAATATGAAAGGTAAACTGAAAAAGCAAGACTTTAACAGTATAATATTCAGGTCACTATTTCTGGTTGAATTCACAAATGTGTGCTTTTTTTGTTGCATCATCTTGTAAATAGGCACATTTTTAAGACAGAGAGGCTAGATTTATGATTCATTTCACAAATGCTGAAGTTGTGTTCCAATCATCTTGCTGATGATAGAAACTGATTTGTAGGACTAGCGAGCAGTTAGTTTTTTCATGTTACTTTACATAGTCTGCATCCATTTGTATGGTTCAGTTATTTGTATTCTCTTTTCTTGCTTTCTTTTGCTGAAGCCAGTGCAAAATTTGGCTGTTGTCTTCACTGTGATGGCACTGACTCCTTTTTCATGGGTAAATTGGAAGAAATTTGGTTTTCAATTGATCATGCGGTAAATGTTTGGTATACAGGAAAAGGAGGTGTGGGATGTCTACAAATATACCTCCATTTCTAAACTTAGCAAGTTAAAAGTAATAATTAGCACATGAAAAAATATAAATATATTCATTCCTAGCTCTTGGTGAAAAACACATTTTAGTTTTGGTTGGGAATTGTCCTGTGGTACTAATTCTAAAATTTACAAGTACTGTAGTATTTACCATGTTTGTATGACCTTTTGCTTGAAAATGAAAATCCTCGCCTAATAAGAAAAAACCTTGTACTTTTTACCTCAATCAAGGATTAATTATTATGGGAGCCAGACTATTTTTTGATTGGAAAAAGAGAATAGTTATTTAATAAATGTTTTATAACATCCTGTATCTGAAAAAGTCTTCCCACTGAAAATGGTGTATGTACTTGCTGAGCACCACAAAGGCTGGCTTTTCAACCTGAGCGTGATAGCTGCACTGTATAGCACTGAACTTCATCATATTGAGACAGAATCATTGAATGATTGAAATACGTAATGAATTAAATCACTGTGACAAAGTTGAGCTTTTCCAGGTTTGGGAGTCAATAGTGTTTTAAACACTGGAAAAGTAAGGAGGTTTGATTCTTACCCTACAAAGCATGTGATTTAAAAATGATATTTATGGAGAAGGCTCTTGTCAGGCTCCTACCTGCTCCCCAGTAAGACTTCGATCCTCCTTTTTTTAAAAATAGAATAGTTATCCTTTAAGAGAACACTTAGCATGCCGCATTCAGCTCGTGCAGTGCTACAACTTAAATAATGAAGCAATATTAACTATGCAAAAGTAGAGTTGCTGTGAAACATATGCATGCCTTAACAGTGCTGCAACCACGGGGCACAGGACAGAATGCCTTGAAGAGCCTCCAAATGCGAATGTAAACATTTAGATGTTTACATTTGCTAATGTAAACATTTTCTGGTATGGTGTTTTGAAGGGAAAAAGTGTTTGGATGTGCAGCTACCTCAAATAGTGTAAATGGCTTTTCCTTGCACTTCCACAGTCAGTGTGGCAAATTTTGACTTCTGCACAGAGCTATGTTATTTTCTTGCATGGAGGATTTAAAGCCTCCTTCAGTGAGATGGTCCACAAATCCCGATTTTGATGCCGCTGCGTAGTGACCCGCACTGCAGGGGCCCTGTCAGTGCAGGTGATGCTGGAGCAGCTGTGTTCACAAGAAGAAACTGGGCCTTGTGACTACTGTTGTGCAGTTACTCCCTTGATACTTGTCTCCATCTCCTTTGGACTTTTTTCTTTCCAGATTAGCTACGTAGCACTGCTTTTTCCCCGTGAGTAATGGTGGTGGAGAGTGGGCAGTGTAATTAATGTTACAACACAAAAAACCCAAATCCAAAATGCCCAAGCTGGTCACCCAGTCGTGAGCGTGTTTTGCACTCGGAAGCACAAGTGACAAATGAGGAGACAAGTGCCGGTCTGATCACACTGAGCCCCGTTTCAGTGTGTTCAACGCAACACGGTTTTCATACCACATTTTTAAAATAACTTCTCAACTCTCTGCTCAGTAATAGGCCCTTCCAGAAAAGGGTCAGTTTTGCTTCCCGTTGCCTTTTTTTGTTTGCTGTATTTTAAAACGTGTGATCTGTTTCAAGATCTTGTCTTCTCTGTGGCTCATGTGCAACCACTGCTGTAAATATCGTGACATGGGCATTGGCATCCCTCTGAAGCTGCAGTTCATCTAGTTGGAGAGTAAACAGTAATAATTTAATGGAAGAATAGTTTTTGTGGAAGAAGCTAGGATAAAACATCCCTCCTCTCAAATGGCAGGTCATGCTTCAAATGCTCTGAACTAAAGTGTGCAGTAGTGTGAGAGGGGCAGTAACAGAATTGTTTTTCCATGATTTGTTAAAATTTGCACTTTATGTTCTTATGCTGGAAGGACATAGCAGTTACGAGCTGGAAAACAAATGTGATCAAAGTGATCCCAAACTGAGGGAGCTGGTGATACACGTGTAGTGTATCACTACTGAAATGGTAATACTAATGGCATCACAAACACTTTGCTTCCACATTTTGTAATCAGGAAGCTGGAGGGTCTTATGTGGGAGCCACTGCCTCTTCATTAATGAGGCCATGTACTTTTAGTGGAATTCCATGATTCCAACTAAATTATTAAAGCATCAATTGAGGAAGTAATGTAACAGATTATGCAAGGCAAACTTCTGTGGTAGAGTGGGCACAATGGGGAGAAGAGACTGCGCAGGCTGATGGACAGGTCTCTGTGTTATGCTGACGGAATTATTTAGATGTTTGCAGCAGCTCTGCTAAGCAGGAGATGGAGTCATGTGTCTGACATTTGGTCCCAGGGGTCTTGGCAGTCTGTCATAAAGAAAAAAATAATAAATTTTTCTCTTACTTTTCATATTGCTGTTGTATTTGGAGGAATCTTCAGCATACACGGTGGAGGGCACTGGTGTTCAGCAAGGAGCCTCAGCCTGCCAGTCTACTGCTTTGTTTATTATGCATGAAAAATCCCAGTGCAGCCAGGGTCTCCATTGTAAAGGCTTCCTGGCAGACCAGCATGGAGTCGTGTTGCAGTGTGCTGTCTCTTTGCATTGCAGCACTAATCGCATTCTCGGCTCATTAAAGGGCACCTGGCAGGACTTCGAGTAACCATCACTGTTGTCATTTTCGCGGGGGTTATATGTCAGCCTTCTAAATTTGTTCTCTGGAAGAGCTATTTTGTATGTCATTTAGCTCTTAATGTGG